TTCTTTTGCACATGATAAAGAGATRATTTAACACATGCTCTATTTTTATTTTCGGTGAGTAACATCAGGTTACTTAAGATCAAGGTTTTGATTTCTACTTTTGTTAACTGCTAAGGAATTCAGCAATAAATTTGGGTTTTATTATTTCAGACCTACTTTCTCTTATGTTTTGTCCAACCTCTTTTTTTTCCATCTTTCTATGATTTTCTTAAGAAAGTTCTCAGTTACCTGACTAGATTTCTTGAAACTGTTTCTGATGTGAGTTCCCAAGTAACTGAGACATCCTTCTGGGATTGGCAGGTATAAACAGGGTCTATGGGAATGCCTGAGGAGTTAGGTGTAACATATTTTCATTGATTACAAGGGCTTGTGGGTTCTCGGTGCTCCTCCAACACCAGCCATGAGGACCTCAACTGCAGAAAGAAATATGTGGTATATAGAGATAACCTCCGTTCCAATTGGCAGTCCTAAGTGACTGCCTTTCAACATCTCTGGCCCTTTTCCTGTGGATGCAGAGCAATGGTCATATAATCAACTCATATTTTGGAGTAGTATGACAGCAGTTGTCAAAACATTTTCTTATCCTTTTACCATTTCTTTACAGGTAATATTGATACCTTCTGCATGCCTTCCTGTATCCACATTAGGGGAAAGACCCCTGCCACAGGGGGTCTCCCCTTTCCCCTCAGGGCATTTTCTGATGGAGTGAGAGGAGCACAAGGGAATACTTTCCAGCTTTGTGGTAGAAAGAAAAGATGTATATGAGGTGAAGTTTCCATAGAGAAAAAGCACTCACAGCTGTGTGGGAGTAATGAGAATTTGCTCAGTGCTTTATGGATTTATTGGCTTAGATCTCTACTAGCTCAGGGGTCTCCTTACTGCTGTTACTGCCCGTTAATATGTTTCATCTTTCAGTCATGTTGCAGATGCAACCTTTGTGGAGTGACTGCTGCTGTTCTCTTTTAGAAATGATCCATATTTTGTTTGAATTAAAGGCTTTCTCCAAGAAGGCCTTTAATATAGGTTGTGAAGGATACAGTCTGGCAATAAAATGATTTCATCAAGGCTCTAGACTGCAAACTCTTTGGCACATTTCTGTCCCCATGAGCTTTGAGTTCATTATTTATTAATGTATATAATGATGGTTAAAATACAAAAGCAAATATACAAAAAATCAGTAGGTCATTAAGTTTTGTACTAATTTGAATCAAAATTACCTGTAAATAACATGAAAGCCATGATACATTTTCAGAAAGATAATATGCTACAATATCATGATCCTTGTTCAGTTATGACTTCTAGTCACTATATCTAATTCTTTCAAATACAAATTTTAGCTTTATTTATCTTTTTAATACAATTTAAAAGAAGTCTTAATGTGATACATTCAGAAATATACATTTCTATATTTTCTGTTGGCTATCTTTGTGGCTTTCTAAATTTTCATCTGCCTTACTGTGGAAACTGCTATAATTTTATTATCATTGCTGAAGGAAGTATAAGCCATCACCATAGCTTGGAGAGATTAAATAATTTTGCACACTCTTGTGCTTCAGAATGTGGCTGACACCTTATCAGCCTACAACTACTCATCCTGGGTCATTTTGCTAGAAAATCTGATATGATTTATTATTTAATCTGCATTACTACACTGATTACTCACAACAGTTAAAATTTGTACATGAAATGACATGAAATAATTAGCCTTAGATTTCTGCCCATAAAGAAATAGAAAGACATAATCTATTGCAAACCAAAGAGATTTCTAGTCTGTACTGATTATTTTCTAGGTCTAGCTCTTCTGTGGTCCTCCGAGTTTCTTTCCTTTGCCAACAGACAGGGCATGCAAGCCAGCTACTCTGCTTCTCCACGTCCTAAATTCCCTGCCTATAACCAAAAAGGGATTCTGTCGTCTTCTTTTGTAACTGCTTGAGATCAGCAAATGAAAAGTAATATATGAAAGCATTTTAAATAGCTATTTGAGTTCTGTAAGATTTTTTGTCCTCCAAATTCAGTCCTTTGCTACGTCACTGAAAATAATGATGGTTCATTCTCCTCAGAGAGGTTTTCCTGGGCAGTAGAGATGAAAAAGGATTTCCTTCGCAGGTCTTTGGGTTGTATGTATGTGTGTGGGCATGTACCTGCATTTGCACTCTTTATTTTTATGAGAAGAACTCTTTACAGTATTCCTCTTCTCTGGAGAGGATTGATTTTGGAGAAATCAACCACAAATGAAATGGAGATGAAAATTATGGGAAAAAAAACCTCTGAGCTTTTCCTCTAAAAAAAMCGAAAACTGCTGCCAGGAGAAGCCACTAAAAATTTAACATCTGCTCTGTTTCTTTCACTATATGTGCTCTCTTTGTAAATCTGTACTACATGCTTTTTTAAGAGAACTTTTATCCTTAAAGTCTGCATCTGATAGAGCAATCAACAATGTCATTTTTCTGCATGGCTGTCTGCATGCAATTGTATGAACAGTGATTTTTCATCGTTTTTCTTATTGCTGTTATTGACTGTCTGCTGCTATGATGTTATATTGTGACACATCTTGGATCCTCTGAAAACAGCCTAGAACAAGTTGTTCAGTATGAGACACATTTCAGCTGGTAGCACTCCTGGATTATTGTTTTGACACCATGTCAGTCTACCAGAAAAAAACGCATACATTTCACCTACAAATGATCCTCACATAATGGAGAAGCATCCAAATAYCAAAGGTCCCTCATGCTTGAAATCATCACAGTTTATTTTATAGAGCTTGCTGTCAAAACACTTTTGTTTTCTCAATACCTGACACAATACTTTTGCTTTCTGAAGCCTGCTCACTTAAATAACAGCCCAATGAATAAAAAATTTGCAATGCAGCATTATATACACTAATACACTAACTGCAAGTAATACAATATGTCATGATAAATGGCGTATGTCTCAAGAGAGATACTTCAGCCATTAATTTATGACAAATATCACTGAAAGCTGTCCTGTATAGAATGGAGGAAAGAAAAGTCTGGACATATATTTTTCTGGTATGTAATCCCCCTCTGTTGTGGAGTGGACTGATGGAGAACAGAATATGAAAGATGACTTGCTATGTCTGTTGGAAAAAAAATCCTCAAATGTATTACTTCTGGCACTGATCTGCATGTTTCATGACTACCGATTTGTGCAACAATGGCATGTTGCACAAACATGCATGTTGAACAATGGCAATCAGAATTTGTTTGACTAGAAATAGGAGTTATGAGCAGAGGTCCATCTTCAATATGAATGTTGCAATTTTAATAGCACTTTTATTGTAGACAAAAGGAGCAAAACACCTAAGTTTTGTCTAAAGAAATATGAGCGAAAAAAAAGAATAGACAACTTTGTGTTTCTAAAAGCTTTCCTATTTTTATCACTCTAAATAGATATCACATCTTTCTGCTAACCTTAAGTTTCTTATTTGTGTTTACAAAACCAAGTTTATTTTGAAAATACTTTCTAATTGATATATTTGCAAAAGTTTGAGTAGCTCATCGTTCCAAAATATTTGTAGCCTAGCCTCCTTTTGACCACAACATTATTGATTATTTAACTTATTATCTTGCTAACACTGTGGGGTGCTTTTTCTGGTTATTTTTGTCTGACTGATACCTTAATTACAATAATCCCCATGTCCACTGCCGCCTGAACAAACTGAATAATTATTTCTCTTGAGTTACACAACTTCTCAAACAGCTTTTGACACAGCTCTGTGGTTTTTTTTTTTCTCCAAAATGTTAAAATGGCTTAGTAGTATATACTAAGGTTCCCAGCTTTTTATTCACTTAAAAATAATCTTTATATCCTGATTCTTTTTCCTGCTTTTTCTTCTTGGAATGTCTATGAAGCACAGCAATATTTCAGAACTTTAAATTTTATTTTCCAATGAGAAATATATATTTTTCTGAAAGTTTCTTAGAGTCACATTTTAGCAGAAGAAATTACAAAACGGAATTAGTGCATAAATCAGAGAAAATATTTATTTACAGACATGTAAAAATTATGTTACAGCATTTTAAAGAAAACTGTCATGAATCATAAATCTGGTCTACATGGGAAAAACTTGAATGTTTTAATTCTAACTTTCAGTACTACTTGTTAAAAATAAGACTGCTTACAAGATTGTAGCTATCTACATAGTTTAAATACAGCGATTTTCCAGAAATAAAGATGGAGCTATATAGAAAACTAATCAAATTAGCAATAATATGTAATACAAGAATTTAAAATAAGTAAAAAAAAAATCCAAATTGTAAAASTATTTTAGCAAATATTTTTCATTCATGCAGCTGCACATAAATATCTAAAACACAGAACATGTAGGTCTGTGCAGAAAATGAACTGATTAAATTCAAGAGTGTATATARAGGATGTTGTAGGACTGTTGAAAACCCAAACTGATTGACGAATCCCTTCTGTTTTTTATTCTTCAATTCTGCAAAGGATGAACAATGTCAAAATAAATTAAAAAGCCACATAAAAGAGATGTATGTGGTGATGGGAAGCAACACCGGGCATACCATCWACAAGAAAATCAGAGAAATATCAAGCTGTACTGAAACTACCAACATTCTTTCTAGTTATTATTTGAGTCATACAGGCCATTAAGAAAACTATAAGAAAACCATTTAAATAAGCACTAAGGCAAAATGCTCACTGAGTTGCTAAAATTTGGACTTTCTTTTTTAACTATGAGGCAAAGATGTCAAAACTCATTCAAAAAATGAAAATTCTTGTTTGTATTTTGCAGGTAAAAATGGTAATAACCTATTATAATGGTAATAACTATTATAAATTTCACTATTATTAGAAGAAAAATGAAAAAAAATCAAAATAGCCAGGCTATTCATCAAAGACAAACTAACACTTTGATTTAATATTTCGTACACACAGTAGTGAAATATTTTTTTTCTAGCACTTTCCTGGGACTGTCACCCTACATAGATTTCGAAACTACAATTGTTTATGTTCAGGAATAACTACTCATAAAAAACTTCCTTCCTCAAGTAAATAGCTAGATAATGCTCAAGTAGACTCATGTAGTTCTGTAGACTAGATATAATATGCCCAAACATAGCTGAAAGTGCTCTGTTACATGATCTTCTAAAGAAGTAAATTCCTGCACAATGACAGATAATTAAATTAAAATTTATAATTTTCTTTTCAGACATTCACAAAATATCAGTGCTTTGGATGATGATCCCCATGCTGGAAATCTAACTGGAGTCCCTGAACTCCCACACCCTCATTATTTTATGGTGAACTTAGCATCTCACAAACCTATATTTTTTACAGAAATTGACCTTTGCTCTGTTGAGGAGACACACTGGTGCCTTTATTTTCCTTCTACTTTTAGCCCACAGAGAATAATTGAAAAGCAAGACAAGGATTCATCTTTGTGGAGTCAGAAAAAACAGTAGGTATCACAGGACATGCGTATCAGTGAAAGTCACAACTCCCCATTCCAGACTGTCACAAAACTATGCTCTATTTGACTGGATAAGGTACTTCTTAATTTAATATCTCCATCTTTTGGAAAGCTGTTGCTTTTATGTCATTCTTTTTCTCTGCTACCACTATAAAGATGTGTCTTCCTATACGTGAGTACATCTCTCAAGGATGTAAATATCTTCCTTGTTTCAGGCCATCTGTGAAAGCATGTAGGTCTAGCTTCAGAATGGTGAGCAAGTTTACTTTCATTAGAGAAGAAAATCTTATACCCATGTGATACACTTCAAATCTGAGTAATACAAGAGACATAATGCATCCATTCCATTTTAAAGGAAATATGATTTATTAAGAAATTCTATTTCAGACTTCCCCCTACAACAGCTGTAATAATTATTTTCCACCTTCAAGCTTTTAGGAGTGCTTTAGGGGCTCAGGAGTGTAAAGACTCTACTGCTGAAAAATAAAACAAATATTATTAGTAAGCTAACTCTAGCTCTCAGGTACTGGCAGTCTGTATGTCATTTACCTGGCTATATGGGAGACTAACTCTTGTGCAAGCTTTCCATATATAAACTGACCTGAGAGATGTTGGTACAGCCATAAGTAYTGTGTTAGTGGGTGGCACCCCACAGAATGTTTTTCTGAAGAACTGGATTTGTAAGGGTATCCAAGGAATTGCTCTCATGTTTTGATACTGTTACTTCTTTAGCAGCTACTTGTATTTGTAAATATAATTATTTTAATTGAGGAATAAAATAAATAAAATAATGGAAAATACCATACAACATATTTAACTATGACACTGATCATAACAATTATCTTGTTTGAAGTAAGCTCTAAACAAAGAAGTGCAATATCAGCTGACTTTAAATATGGTAAAACAGTAAAACATGCTAATCATAAAAATAGCTTTTACAAATATACATTTGTATACAGTGTTTCTCACACTTGTTAAATATGTCCTTCATATTATTATGATACATACATTGGCCTTTAAGACATCAAAATTAAAAAAATAATACCAATAATTAGCCAGAGGAAAAAACACATTTACAATCTAAACCATAAAAATCTGACAATTGTACAGCTTAGAACATATAAGAAATGGTAATTCTAATATTTGAACGATAACGTTCATTTTAATAAGTACATTAAGTTTTCATACAAATTGAATCAAAGGTGTTGCTAGCCATAAGAAACCGCAGCTCACAATTTTGTGTGGGGAAGTTTCTCTTCTCAGCCTCCAGGGGAGTCACACATGGTATCTCATCACTTTATCTGTAGAAACTGAGAAACGAAATGCTTGCGTTAATGTGGAGGTTCAGAATTTCTTCTAATCTTAAATGAAAGCCAAGACAATGAGGGAAAAGATGGAAAATGTTTATGTCTGGACTTTTCACTAATGAATGAAAAAATCTCCATACCTGACTTTGACACCCAAATATTTGTGAAGTAAAAGTCAAGTACCTTCAGCAGCGGATAAACAGGACTATATAGAAGTCTTATGCCCAAAACTGCCTAAGAGCCAAAATTGCACTGTCCAAAACTAACTATGCTGGAAGAGAGCTGTCCAGTTTGATGTTTGCTTCCTTTCAATAATGCTAAGCTAACAACTGCTGAATACTTTATATTTTAACAGCAGAAAACAGAAGAATTCGTGTTAGCTGTTTTTTGCAATTAAATTTATAGAACAGAATTTATTTATAGAATAAATAGCATAAATATAGAATAGCATTTCATTAAAACTGCATATAGAATTCTTTGATTTGGTTCCATCACACTATTAATATACCTTATTGCGCCCCATGAACTGAAAGTACTGTGTGCTTTCAGCAATGCTTATTGTTATTCGGCTGAAGAATATGTTTTCAGTGGCTTTCCTTTTAAAGCTGCCTATTTCATTGTTATTGTTGTTCACATGCTCTAGCTTTTAATTGCTATTTTCTTTAATTTCTCATGTTATTTTATCAGCCACATTCTGAAAAAGTAAAAAATCACTGTCAGTAACACTTTTGAGGGTCATTCTTCTAGCAGAAGCCTGAGGCAGATTGCATCCAAATATCTCAGTGTCCTGGTATGAGACCCATTAGCACTCCTAGCTTCAACTAGTCATTCAGTGATGCYGCAGGGGAGCACAAGACATATCTGCTTTACCTATGAACCGAAAAACTGACAACATTGTTCTGATCATATCTGTTTGGAGAACTGAAAGTAGAAAGTGTTAACAGAAATAGACAGTTTCTTTTCTTAACTGATTTTTTCAATTTAAGTGCCTTTGCTTTTGATAGAAATCAACAAATTTCTTCACTTTTTTTTTTTTTTTTTGATTGTGCCAATTTCCATAGCTCAAGCTGCAAATAGCTGACAAAATATTGAAACATTATGCACTTCTGGTCAAAATCCTCCAAATCTCCAGATGTTCTTTTGAACCTTTTTTTTTCTCTCCATCCGTAAGTTTTAAGCTATTTCTTTCTTCCCTCAAAAAAAGAGAAGTTTTTGGTTAATATTTCCATTCATTGAAAACCTACTTTACCACTGAAGAAGGCTGCACTGGAAACATTAGAATCCATGCAGGACTGGCCTCCTGTCCTTTGAAGCAAACAACAGGTCTCCATGGAGCCATCAGATTTTCCCCTCACATTAGCCTTCACAGRTAATGAGGATTAGGGAAGGAAAGCTCATATGAGAGTTCTCAGAACTTTCTTCTTTCAGGTAAAATGCTGTAAAACTATTATTCTCTACTTGCATCCTGTAAAAGCCTTCACTTTCTTGCTGCTGTCCCTGGATAGACTTAACTGCATGAAAAAGATTTTAAATTCTCCTGTTAAGTCTGAGAGACCTAATGGCTGTTAAGTAGCTATTCATCTTAGAAGAATAAAAAGAAAAGGCCATGGTTCAACTGTGCATCCTATTAGCCCTAGAGAGAGTTCTTTTCTAGCCATTTCTTCACCTATGCTTTGCTGTTCCATTATGCTATTATAAAAATCCAACGAATAAGAGAGACYGATTTTCCAGTTATTTACTGAAGTTTTTACTTTGCCATCAATCTTTCAGACATTTACCTGTCACCTGCACTAAAAAGCTTCATTGGGTTACTGTTAGGAGGTGTTATTGCTAATCATCTGGATCCAAGTCATGCATGCTGTTTTGCTGTCACTTAGAAACAATGATAGAAATTTACCGATCATGTTAGCCAAAAGTACTGTATTCAATACATAGATTAAAATAGTCAAGGTTCTGTTTCCCATAGACTGACAGTAAGCCAGGCCTGTGATTAATCTGGAGTAATATAATACTAATTTTATTTTATTTCTTTCTTCTGAATAGTGTGAATAGCGTGCAGTTTATCAACTGACTTTATGGTAGTGCTGATGATATAAAAAAAATCATGATGACTAATGTTTTTTTGAATCTTTTCATTTCCTTCCAATTACATATATAAAATGCATCCTGACACAACAATAATGAACTGAATTACATTTAAGCCAGTGATATGGCTTTCATTTGATGTGATTCTAACAACAACAAAAAAAAACTTTAAAAAGCATGATTTGAACATAATGGATTTTGAAAATCTAATAACCTAACAACATATAGTTTTGAAAGATGCAGAAAATATCAAAGAAACCATATATACTATCTGAATTGTCATTCATTTCTGCTTCCCTCCCCCATACAGCTGGCTTTTTGAGCATGAGCTACTGAGAACACTCTTCTTAGGCATAATGCTGTAATTCTCTCTTCCAGAAATGCTATTGCTACTATTACTATAATTCCAGTATGATCCTTCTAGCAATTTTACCAGACTCAAACTATACTACATTCAATTACTTTTACTGTTACAATGTATATAATTTGGAAAGACAACGTTAAATATTAAGTAATGAACTAAGTGAAAGTGATTTTCACAAGTATTTAATGGGCCTCAAAATATAATTGCTAAAAATGATGGAGTAAATCAGGTAATACTCAGTAGAAATCTAGAGTTTTCTCTCTTGTTGTTTAGAAATTTAGTGGTTTTACCACTTATTCCACCTCAAAGCGTAGATAATACAACTGTGGATGTTTAAGAATCCCCTGGAGGATGGGGACATTTTTGTGGAAAAGACTTGCCATTAGATCATCTGTCAGAGGATCATCCTGTCTAAGCTCTTTGTTTCACAGGCATCCAGTTTTTGCACTGGATTTTAAAGAGTCTGCACTGCTTTATTTTGTTTAAATATCTTTTATGAGGAGGCAAGCTTGATATATGGTAAAGATGATAAAACATTATTTTTTTAAAGACTAGATTGGCCATTCCTCTGCTCTCAGCCTCCCAAAACATAGATGGAACGTGTAACACTGATCAGTATTTGGTTGGTACAGGATCAATATGTGCCCTATTTCATTGTGGAAGGCTTGAGGTTTCATCTTTGCTAGCTGGACCAAGGCAGAACTCAGCCTTTTTCTTGGTTTGTCTTATTTATTGTTCTTTATAATACTGAAAATAGGGCGAGCAACACAGATACACTGCTTTCTCCCTTTACATCCCTGTAATTTCCTTCTGACAGGGTTCTGACAGGATAAGTGTGTTGCACTTTTTTCCCCATGCTTTTCTTTCAGATCTAGATGTATATGGTTTTAATAAYGAGTACTAAGGATGTACCATAACTAAATTACACAAAAGATGCACACAATTAACATCTKCTTTTGTAGTTAAGCGAATATTATTAATATTAAGGAAACATTTAGAGAAATGACCTACAGAATACAGATGTTAGAGAATTTGATATATGGTTTATATGCAATAAGAGCACCCAACAAGTGTATGGAAGATGTCAAGCTGACAAAAAGCATCAGTTTTTAAGCAGTCAACTGCTTTCTACAGTTTTCCTGACATTCATCTTAGAAATTTGTAGAATTTGTATCTAAAACAATCGATGGATAGACAACTGTGCATATATATATGAACAAAAAAATCAAAGCCTCAAATATTCTTCATTTTTCTTTCCTGCCTCTTTTYGCTTGCCAGGACCCATTCTCAGCACTGCACTTATGGGTTTAACAGCTGGAAGGAAGAAATATCCAAATAATTCTGGCCATTCCTTGTTATCAGGTAAGATTGACCTCCTGCCTCTATTGTCCTCCTGTTGTGGGGACACTCAACGCACGGCASTTTTCAGAGCTGCTGTTATTATCTGGTTAGGCTTTGTCTGTGCTTATTATCCCCATACATTGCTTTCTGCAGAAACACTGAAGATCCATTAATATGCAGCTGCTGCACTTCCTTTTACTTGTGACCCTCGTCCTAATGTTTATACTGCCCTAGATTTTAATCACAACACAATTGCTTGGTTGCATCCGATTTGTATTCCTATATTGTTACTTGCACAGTCAAGACTACTAAATACAGGTCTGCAGGAGCCACTATTACTTTCTCTAGCGTGGCATAGCTGTTTCATCTCTAATAAATTTTATTGATTATGAAATATACTGTCTGGACAGCTACAGAGGTGAAAATCTAAGTTTACTTGCAGGGCAATTTTTTGAATTATTATTTTTAAATCTAAATGCTGGTGAGTCATTATTGATCTAGATATTGATCCCTATTTGGAATCTTAAGAAAAAACAGGATGCAATATACAAAACAGTAAGGCAAATTGACATTTTGCTTGTTTGCTGGGCCTAGCACAGTCTTTGAACAATGAGATAAAATAGATTGGAAAAAAGCATTTTTTTATGTTCTTATGGTACCATGAAGGCATGTGCTTCTTTAGGCTTTTACACAGCATTTGGTGTCATGAACGGAAATCCCCAAACAAGTAATGCCAAGGATTATCAGAGGGTCTCCAATCTGTATTAATATTTGAATGGACTGCTTAGCTATATTCACTAGAAAAGCAACTTGTGTTTTGTCTCTGGGTTTAAAATTCAATCTCAAATATAGTAAAACAGTACAGGTGTTTAGTAGAATGCTTCTGAATTAGGTATGAAAGCTCACCAGCAGAGCTTAGTGAGGTAACATGAATGTGAATTACAGGTTTGGTGCTGTCATTTGTAACACTATGCAGAACACAACAGATGAAATTACGGCACTAAAGCAAAACTTTTTAAAATAAACTAGTGACAAAATATGATGAGCAAGAGGAATTATGTAGTTTCATAAAGACTAATTATGCAGTTTGATAAATATTAATAAAGAATAATTAAGGAAAACACTTGCTCTTCTTTAAAATTTCTCTCAAATGATGAAACCTAAACCTTTTTTTTTTGTACTCTACCAATCATACAGTAATTGCTGAAAACAC